TCAGAAGTTCCTTTGTCACTTTCAAGACTCCCTATACCAAAAGCGGCTTTCGAGAAGAAGACAAATTCAACGCTCTATTCAAAGAAACACCAAATAACCTCATGAAGAATACAACTGAATAACAACACAAATAACTTACACTCAATGCGTCGACTCTTAAGTCTATCGGCGCTGCTAGCAGCCCTAGCAATCCCGCTCTCTACCTTCGCCGAGCTCACTCGCCGCGAGCTCCAACCTCTCCCGCTCTCCGTCCGTGACCGTGACATCGTCGATGCCCGCAACGCAACGGTCGCCCTCGTTGGCGTGAACTGGGCAGGACACGAGCGGACCATGCTGCCCGAAGGACTGCAATACCAGTCCATCGCCCACATCGTCAAGCGCATCGCCGAAACCGGCTTCAATTCTGTTCGGCTAACGTTCGCCACCGAAATGGTGGATGACATTGTCGACCGGGGCGGCGATGTAGATCTCAAGACGACGCTCCAGAATGCGCTGGGCCCGGAGAATGGTACGGCTATCTTGAAGCAGATTCTCAAGAACAACCCATCTTTTAGCGAGAGTTCGAAGAGGCTTGATGTGTGGGATGCTGTTGCGGCGGAGCTGGGCAGACAGAAGATCTACGTGCATCTTGATAATCATGTTTCTAAGGCCGGCTGGTGTTGTACACCGTATGATGGGAACGGGTGGTTCGGTGACACGAACTTCAATACATCTAACTGGGTTCGCGGATTATCCTATATGGCAGAGCATGTAAGTTGCAACTTACTTCCCTAAAGCACCTGATTCCTTGATCGTCCATTGGCTAACCTTTACGCAGGGGAAAGCTTCAAATTGGACAACCTTCATCAGCGTGGGTCTCCGCAACGAACTCCGCGACCCCTTTTCCGCATCCCCCCCTCATAGTCTGGAGAACACGACCTGGACGACGTGGAAGACCCGCATGGTGCAAGGCGCGAACGCAATTCACGCCGCCAACCCAGACGTTCTCATCTTCTTTGGCGGGCGCATCTTTGACTTTGACATTTCGGCACCCGTGCAAGGGGAGTTTGCTAGCGAGCCCGGGTTCAACTTCTCCATTGCTGAGTTCTCGTTCAAGAACAAGTTCGTATTTGAGCAGCATCAGTATGACCAAGGGCTTGTTGATGACTCATGCACGAGTTATCGGGATATCCTAACGGCGTTTGGGTCGGATGTTATGACTATTGGGAATAACGGGACGACGAACGGTACCATGACGAACGGGACTATGACGAACGGGACGAGTAATCGAGCGCCGTTGGTTATGACGGAGTGGGGACATGATCAGACCGACGAAAGCGGCGCGTTCAAGGATAAGTTTCGGAGATGCCTGGTTGACTTTATGGTTGACCGGCAAATTAGCTGGATGGTATGGGTCATGGGTGGAAGTTACTACACGCGTGAAGGTGTGCAAGACAAGGATGAGCCTTGGGGTGAGTCTACTTTCTTCGTCGAGGAGATGTCGATGATTGCTAACGTCTCTGTGGTAGCCATTCTTGACCACAACTGGGATGCTTACCGCGGGAAAGCTTCTATCCGACAACTCCAGCATGACATGGAGAGGACGTACGAGGCCTTCCATCAGTCTATGCCTGATGCTGGAAGAAGTCCAGGGAATCAGCCAAAGAGTGTCGCAACGTCCTTTTCGCATAGCGTGTCTTTGGCTAATTTGATAGGCATCGTCGTAGCAGGTATCTTGGCTTAGAAGAGATAGAGTGTCGGGGGGTAGAGGAGACGCTCTGTTCATTGTGCATATTCAGATCTGCAAGTCCTGTTGGATTCTACTGTTGTATCTCGCCATCACCCAGGAAACAGTCCACTCAGGAGCGTTGGGTACAAGACTTGCTCTCCAAGTCATTGGTATTCACCATATCTGCTGTATGGCCAGGCTCGTTGTGAAACTCAAACTATGAACAATGTCTAAACAACACGGAATCTATGCCTACGTATAACCTACTTCCTACCAGAAAACACCTGCTTCCCCTCAAACCAAGTCTCCAACGTCTTCGCCTGCAACGCCTTGCTCGGATCCCAATCAAGATCGAAAATGGTCAAATCAGCCTTCTTCCCAACCTCGAGTGAACCAACCCGATCCTCCAGGAAACAGCTCCTCGCCGCCCCCTCCGTCGCGCCCGCCAACACGTCACACAACGACAGCGCAAACTGCGGATTCACAACCGTCTCCAGCTCCGGCTCCCGCGCAGACCGCCGCGTTGTGGCAATGTACAAGTTATCAATCACATGATGCGGCGCCGTCGGCGCATCCGACCCAATCGCCACGTGCGCGCCCCCGTCAGCGAAATCGCTGTACGCAAACGCCCGCCCGCACCGGTGTTCCCCGATCAGCGTCGGCCAGGCGCGGAGGATCGCTGGGTCCGAGTGGACGGGCTGCACGGAGGCCGTGATGCCGAGTTTTCCTAGGCGCTTCGCGTCCTCGGCGGTCGTGACTTCGAGGTGCTCGATGCGCGGGCGGTGTTTCGGTCCGACGTGCGCCTCCAGCACGTCGATCGCGTCCGCGACGGTGCGGTCGCCGATGGCGTGGAGCGCGACTTGCAACCCATGTTTGGTGGCTGCTTGTACCACGGGTGCCATGTACCGCCGCGACCAGACGGGGTCGCAGTTGTCGCCGTTGTGGCTGTAGGGCTCTTTCAAACTCGCCGTGCAGCCGTCAATGATGCCGTCGCAGACGAGCTTGATGCCGACAAGGCGGCAGTCCGGGTCCGTCTCGAGGTTGAACTCACGGGCCAGCTCCGCGGCGCGCTCGACCTGCTTAATGTTCTCGGCGTCGTCGTCCTTGGGGAGGATCATCCAGTAGGCCGCGAAGCGGATGGGGAACGGGCGGCCCGCTGCCTTTTCCTGCTTGCGGTACTCCTGCAGCGCCGTCCAGCCGTCCTCTTCCATGGCCATGTCGATGAGACCGGTGAAGCCTGCGGCCGTGTAGTCGTTGATGGCCGTCTCGATGGCGGCGATGCGATCCTGGAGAGTCGAGGTGCGGGCCATGTAGAGGGGGATGAACTTCATGCTCGCCGCCTCGGATAGCAGACCGCTAGGTTTACCCGTCTTCGGATCGCGAACAATCTCGCCCCCGGGCGGGTCGGGCTCGTTCTCGAGATCCAGGTCCTTGAGAGCGGCGGTGTTACACCACGTCGAGTGCAAGTCCTTTGCGGTGATGAGAATGGGTCGGGGGTCGAGGTCGTCGAGGAGGGAGGCGAGGGGCCCCTCGGGCGTCATGAAGTGCATCCATCCGCTACAGAAGATGCGTTCGGCTTCCGGGTGGGCGGCGGCGTGGTCTCTGATTGTGGTTCGGATGTCCTCGAGAGTCTTGCAGTGGGCGAGGCTCAGCTTGAGAAGCGCCTGACCGAGTTGCGTCAAGTGGATGTGTCCGTCAACGAGGCCGGGGAGGAGAGTGTGGCCGCCTACATCGCGGATCTCTGCGCCAGCATCGATTGCGGACTTCACCTCAGATGCGGAGGCGTCACCGACAAAAGTGATGATGCCATCTTTAATTACCAGCGCTTCTGCAAAGTTGGCTTCAGAACGCTGACCTGCAGGTGCTTTGTTTGACCTAAAGATCTTTCCGTTCTGGAAGACGACGTGTGTTGAAGCCGTCATGCTGAGTGGTTGTGAGAGTTGAGTTATTGGCCCTTGCAGTAAGGTAGGTAACACAACGCTAGAGAGACGGGAGGTTCTGTAGTCTGTACGGCGCTGTGTAACTTCGAGCAACTTTAGTATACCTAACCCCTCAGCCTAAGAGTTGTTCCAGCGAATAGCGCATGCAATACGTGGCCAAGATCGCGAGGAGGGGTGAACTAGTTGCATCATCCTCGTGATAGCACTGATAGCTTAGATACGGGCTTGATGGCGGGGTGGCATGCGGGGTTGAACCGTCCTGATTTCCGACGTTGCTCGGCCGGGCCCTCGGCGTTGCAACTGTTCAGGTGGGGAGTTGATTTGTGCTGTCAAGAAACGACGCAGTTCCTCCGTGATCGGCCTATGGAGATACATACGTTGGGGCGAAGAGTTGTTGAAAAGACTTGAGGAATCTAGGACAGGCTTGACAGGCTACCCGAGGTTCCAGCGTATAGTAGGCGCATCAAGATGCCAAGTTGGCCGTGTTGCGGGCACAACTCGACACCATACCTCGCGTCACGAATGCCCCGGCTGGAAACCCTTTCAGGACTCTTACCCCTGTCTTAGACGTTACAGAAACACACTGCTTTCTGGAATCTGAAGATTCAACAGGAATATCATGCTGTTTGGCATGCCAGTGACGATCACTGTTCCACTTCGCTCCGAAATATGAGAAGCGCGTCGCTTGTTACCGCTCGCAATCAGCCACTCGCCAAAACATTCCCTACTCGTCAGGGCCTGGCGGCCAAGACAATACGCCGTCATAGACAACTGCAGGCAGCCACTTATAAGCCGTTGAAATAGACTCTCCTGGCTTACTTCAGTCGACTAAGTTTGGGCCTCAACCTTTCCATCTCAAATCGCTGCGATGATTTGGAGCCAGCAAAACTTCGGCTCCAATCGCGAACGGATCTCGTTGCCCCGGTGATGCTCATCTCCACGGAAGATCACCCCAGTAGTGTGATGGCCCCGCTAGGATCTTGAAGGATTTGATTGATTCTATCTATAGAAAGAGGTAGGCGATGAACCTCATCCGACTAATCAGAGACTACCTATTTCACCTCGTAAATGATGGACTCCAAATGTCTGCCTAAGTATCAGATACTAGCACCCATTGAAGCCTTGACAAGGCCTTGCCAGACATGCTGCACCCTGTCTTTCTTCAGTAGAAAGCGCTGAAGAAAGCCAGGGGTTTACAACGGTCTGAACTGTGTCATGTGACTAAGCCGTAAGTTGTCCCGCAAATGGACATGGTCGATCCCATTCAAAGCGCGCTATTGACGCTGTTTTTTTCGATCGCGTTGAAGAGCAGAGAGAGGGTCGGTGCAACTTCTCCGCCCAGGAATGCGAAGATGGAGAAGAACCAGAAACGAATATCGTAAGTCATCCGAGAGATTGGGAAGAAAAAAGAAAGTTATGATGTAAGACCACCATCAGCTAAACGAGTATGCAAGGTGCAAGCGGTGCCAACAGAGAAAGGTACTTTTGCTCTCCGTGTTTGTTCCCCCTTTTCCCTGACCCAAGTCCGCCCTTCCCCGGCCTACTTTCCCCCGACTCTCGGCTTTTCCCCGGGTACTTGGGATCCGTACACGGCACCGCTCCGGATCCGTGTCCGGTCGAGGAAACCCGTCCGACCAAGTCTCCTCACCCGCTATCCGACCTGTCCCCCGCGCTGACACCTGACTGATCCATAAAAATGCAAATAGATCCGCTGCTCCCGCACCTTTCCATGCACAAACTGTTCCACAGCATCCGCCAAATGCGAGTTCCGCGAGAGCGACTTCAAGCGGCCGCCCGTGTCCCGTGAGTATGTCGCGGCTCTCGAGTCACGCATCGCCTCGCTCGAGAGCTTGCTGGGCAACCTCAAGGCCGCCGACGGCGATGAGCGCAACCAAATCCTCGACGACCTCGAAGTCCAAGACTATGTGCCCTCCTTTTCCGGCCTGCCCTTGGCGGATGAAATTGCGCTGAGCGAGGCCATGACCAAGGCTTCGTTTCAGGAAATGACTGACGGTATTTCCTTGTCCCTTTCCTTTTCGTTCTCCTTAGTGCCGGGGTCTCCATCGCCTCTTGGCAACTATCAGTATTCTAATCTCCTCCAGGATCCATGATCTACCACGGGCCAACAAGCATCTTCCAAAACGAAGTCAGCACCTCCATGTACCCAACCAGCTCCTCCACCGCCTCGAAGCCCTCGGCCTTCCACGAGGACAAGGCCAACCTGACCAATCAGACCATGCGCCTCTGCATCGGCCTCTTTTTCTTCTGGCAGTACCCGCTCTTCATGTTCATCGACCGGGAAGCTTTCATCCAAGAATTCGAAGAGAACCCCGTCGACGGCAATTTTTGTTCGCCGCCCTTGATCTACGCATGTGCCGCTCTGGGTGCGCTCATGTCCAAGGATCCGGAAGTCCGGCCCAGGGCACAGGAGTTCGCGAACACGGCGCAGACCATCTTGACCACGGATGAACTGGGTATTTCGAGGCCGACCTCGGTGCAAGCGTGGTTGTGTCTTGCATACTATGAAACTGGTTTGAGTAACATGTCCAAGTCGTGGCTGTACACAGGTAAGAGTCCTTCATGAAGTACCAAATTGCTAGAACTGTGATCTGATGTAGATATCACCAGGCATGGCCTTCAGAATGGGTCAGGACCTTGGCTTGCAAAGAGACCCTACACACTGGGGCCCAGAAGAGAAGCCGAATGAGGCGAATCCATTCCCATTCAACAACGAGTTCCGACGCCGAATCTACTGGGGATCTTTCCTGACGGACAAGTGAGACATCTATATGATTCTCAAGATGCTCAGTCTAACGTCTCTCCTCTCGCAGGATGTTCAGCCTCTTCCTAGGTCGTCCAACATTTATGTACGAGAACGATGCCGACGTGAACATCAACGAACCTCTACCGTATGTTCCATTCCTAAACCCCATTTCAAAATCTACAAGTAATACACCTTGGTCACATGCACTGACACAAGCCAACAGACACGACCCTCCAATCTGGGAGAACTGGCTCTTCTCACACGACCTCGGCTTCCTCAAGACCATGCGCCCAGCCGGCCCAAAGCTAACGCTCCTCTTCAACCAGCAGATTGAATTGGCCCGCATAGTTCACGACATGCTATCCCAAACTTTCGCGCCCAAGAAGATGAAGGACCCAGCCGCGAGGAGGTGGAACGAGGTCTCCCTCAACAAACTCAACGCTCGTCTCGTCGCGTGGCACGAGGCGCTGCCTACCAACATGCGATGGAAGAAGTGGTTCACCAACAAAGACATCCTGCAGCCCAACGTGTCAATTCTACAGTAAGCCCTACGTCTTCTCTTGCGAGTGTGAAGGATGTCCCACTGAGCTCTGCTGATTATGTGCACCAGCATGTTCTACCACAGCACTCGCATCTGCCTCAACCTCCCCTTCCTAGCCTCCGTCCGGCACATTCCCTCCACCGCAGACCTAGCCGACAACGACGATGACGACCCCGAGACATCCTCAAACAACCCGATCATCAAGTCGCTCAGGATATGTCAGTCCTCCGCGCAAGGGATAGCTGACGTCCTACAGCGCTTTAAGAGTCAGCACACGCTCGGCAACGCGCCTCTGATCTTCGTTGGAGCCACCATCGTCGCGACGAACGCAGTGCTGGTGACGACGAGGCACCAGATGGGAGGCGGAGGCGTTCCGCAGCTGATGAAAGACACATTGTTGCCTGTGTTCGACGGCGCGCTGGAAGACATGTCTGCTTCGTATAAACTTGCGGAGGAGGCTAGGGCCAAGGTCCGGGCTGCGTTGAATACGAAGGAGCAGCATAGGTATGATGCGGGAGGAGGACAGCAGTCTGAGGTCGTGCCAGTTGGGTTGGATGGTGAGGCTGCTCGTAGCGATGAGCCGGTGGCAGTTGTGGTTGATCCGGCGCTCTCGGGCTCGGTCCCTCCTCCAGTGACGACGGCGATCGGTTCGGGCTCGACGACGGAGACAGCAGAGATTCCCAGCTTCATGAGTCCTGAGCAACAAGGGTGGCAGCCTCTGAGCGTGCTAGATGGAGAAACGGCTTTCTGGGGGAACCTTGGCAACGACATATTTGCAGGCTCAGAGTTGGAGTATCTCGACGGTGTGACGGAATTCGATTGGACTGACCGGCCGCCAATACCTTGAGCGCTCCGGTCACACATCTCGAGGGACAGTCTCTATCACTTGAACCAAACAGCATCGTCATTTCACTTTAACGATTTCTTTTTACTTCCATCTTCTACGGCGACTCTAGCCCTCCCTGATGCCTGTATTACCACTTGTACTGGCAATTCGTGCAATTCTCCCCGCCGCACCCGTGACGGAACTCCTCAATTACGCTGACGGGCTTCACGTACTGCAGCGTCGGGACGTAGTCGTGTTCCAGCCCAAAGACTTTAGGCCCCGCGATCTCGAGCGCTCGTTCAGTGGCCCAGAGCGGGTGTCCGGCCATGATCATGACGGCGACCTTGAGACCGTACCGGTACTCCTGGACGCCGATGGCTTCTCCGGTCGACGTGTCCAGGAGGAAGATGAGGTCTGGTACGGTAGCGAGAACCTAGAAATGCCAGTGTCAGTATGGGAATTCTCAAGACTTGATGAGTAAAGAGAAGCAGGAGGGAGATTGACTTACCGTTTCGATGCCACTCTCGCCCTTACCCAAAACCCCCAAGTTCTCATTCATGAACGGCACAACAACCTCCTTCAACCCCTCCCCAATACGATCCGTCTCGGTTTCCATCTCGCTCTCACTAAGCCTCTCAACAGTGACCTTGCCCAGACTATGCGCCGTCGCAGTCAACGTGCTTTCCACGCTCCGGATCTTACCCTGGAACAACACCCGCGCGCTTCCCGGCCCTCCCGCGGCCTCGATGATGTCCTTCGTGACAGTCGACACCGTACCAGCCTGCTGCGCCAACGCCACCACACGACCCAGACGCCAAGCGAGCGAGTACGTGTTGGGAATACCCACCTCGCGCATCAGCTTACCCGGGATCGGACGTCCCGCGGCGCCCGCGGCGGAGCCCATGGCCACGCAGGCGTCGCGGATGGCGATGCCGGCCGAGGTCTCGTCCGTCTGGGTGGCTGGGATGACGACATTGTGGCCGGTGCCGCTGCAAAGGGTTACGGGAAGGAGCTCGTTGACGGATTTGGCGTGGATGTACTGCGAGACCATTTCGAACTGGGGGTATGCGCGTCCCATCATGTCACCGTCGACGGTCGGGATGTCGTAGTAGCGCGAGCTTCCCCAGATGAGTGTGGCGACTCCGTTGGCGCCGCCAATTTCCGTGGCGATGAGCCTCTCGAACTTGGTCTTCATCTCTTTCTCCATCTCTTGCATTGCGTGCCATACTCCGTCACCACCCGGCCGCTCGATACTTACAGCAGGCGTGCCAACGCTAGCGACCGGCGGCATCATCTCGTCGTCCTTGAGGTCCTCGATCCGAATAATCTTCATCGATTCGCCCTCGGCCAACAACTGCTTCAGCTGCAAGTATGGGGCGTAGGGAGAACCACCACCGCCACAGCCTAGGATGTAACACCCGATGGACAAGAACCTGAGATCAGTCTCGGAGAGCGTCCACAAGCCGTTAGATTCGACCTTGGGCTTGTACCTCTTAAGGTCAACGACCTCGTCTTCCGGGTGATCCTCCGCGTCCTCGGCTTCGTGCTTTTTGGTCTCCTCAAACATCTCCTCGTCGACCAGCTGGTCAGGCGCGGCCGTCTTCACCATCTCCGAGTACACGCGCTTATGGTCTGCCGGCAGCGCAACTTCTATCTTGATGGACGTCTGGTTCTCGACGTAGGGAACACCCGCAATCTCCTCGTGAAGGACAGTCACGGAGCTCTCATCACCGCCCTTGGCGACTGCGTTCTGGATAGCCCGGGCTTTGACTTCTGTGATGCCCCCTTGGATGTCTGAGCCGTGGATAATCGTCTCAGCGGAGCCGTAAATCTTGGCAATAGATGCGCCGATCGCATTCGCGACACCGGCGTGTTCAGGGACTACGACCTTGCTGACGCCTGTGAGCTCCGAAGGGCAGAGAATCGAGCCACCGCCGACGAGGATGACTGTGCATGGTTCGGGAGACAACTTCGCGCGATCAATGACGGCCTCGAGCATCTTGCGGATACGCGCCTTGCCCTTTTCGACAACGTCGCTCGCCAGAGACACAGCCGTGGTGCCAATCTTAGCACCTGACGCGACTGCGACATCCGTAGCGGTTGTGATATCGCCTCCGAAGGCCAGGGCCTTGGTAATAAGGTCGTGGCCTACGCTATCAGGCCCAACAGCTACGGAGCCGTCGTCCGCGCTATGGAGAATAGAGCCTCCTCCAAGACCGATGCTCTCGACGGAAGGCATCTCCAGATTCACCTTGACGCCGGCCAGTGCCGTATAGCTCTTGGACAATCTAGGGTATCCGTTGCTCAGCAGGTATCCGACGTCGGACGTGGTGCCGCCAATGTCCACGACGATGCTACCTGACTTGTCTATCGAGTCTCTGGCGAGGAACGCAGCGCCTCGAATGGAATTTGTTGCACCCGAGGAGAAGATCCTGATGGGGGCCTGCATGGCTTCTGAGAAGGGCAGAAGGTGGCCGGCATTAGAGGTCAAGTACAGCGGGCACTGGAGACCGATGCGTCGCATAGCGCCGATGAAGGCTCTGATGGTGCGCTGCGCAAAGTTTAGAATCGAGGCGTTGAGAATCGTCGCATTCTCGCGGGCAAGGAGTCCCGGTCCGGCGATGTTGTGCGAGAGGACGATGTTGACATTTTCGCCCAGCTCGCTGAGCAGGATCTTGCGGACCTCATCCTCCTGGTGGTAGTCCTTGTCGGTACTGCATCCGATGCCGATGACTGCAACGTTCTTGAGCCCCTTGGACTTGATCTGCCTCGCCTGCTCACGAATAGACTCCTCGTTGATGGGCCCGATGAGAGTGCCGTCAATGTTGCAGCCGCCGGGGATGATGGCCGAGTGGCCGTTGATGATGCGCTTCAATGCCGAGGGCCAGTCCGCAAAAGGTGGGGTGCCTGTTGAAAAGTTGTGAGATGCCAAGCGGAGGACAGCAATCTTTTCCACACGGGATGTGTCTCTTTCAATGATGGCATTGAGGAAGTGCGTCGTGCCGATGGCGAGCGCAGTGATGTTGGCGGGGTCTGCGGTTGACTTGTCCAGCAGAGCTTTCAAGGTGGCCTGGACGGAGTGAGTTACGTTCGACGTTGTTGGGGCTTTGTGAGATGCGACAACAGCATCCGTGCTGGACTTTGAGACATCCAAGAGCACGCTGTCAGTGTTGGTACCTGTGAAGATGATTAGTCGCAAAAAGTGAATAATTGTGTATTGCTCTGTAGGTTTAAGCCGGGATTCTTCGAAAAGTCTCTTACCTCCAACGTCGACTCCCACCACCAACGTGCCGTCTGATGCACTCATCTTGCTTGACCAGCGTTGTTGACTGCGGGGTTTGAGGGGAATAGTGGAAGCAGCTCGCGCAACCAGCAGCACCGACCTCACTCTACTTCCGAAGAGCGCGAAACTTGATCTCAGCAAAGCGATCTTGGGCCAGCAGGGCTGTTCGTCAGTCCTTGGTTGTACGTCAGGTAGGTAAGATAGTGATCGTGGGGTGATGAACTCGGAGTCCTTTTCGCTGTGGAATGATGTAAAGAATCAGCCGCGCGTGTGCCGTGTAGTGGGGGATCAAGTATGAACCGAGTCAACATCCGTTCTTCGGCGGCTTTCTTCAACTCATTTGTCGCACAGTCGCACCAATGCTGGAGCGACCCTCTCTCGCTTATGCAAGTGTAACCACTTTTGCAGGTGCATTCATATGGGGAAGGTCAGTCGGGATGTGGACGATCGGAGCCTCGGATTTATCAGATTGATCTTATCTGCGCAGGCGTGACGGGGTACGTATTCGTAGGGCTATCTTGGCTATCAACCACCAGTCCAATCACACAAACTCATGGCTACCCACATCGTGACGTACCATCAAGATGCCCTCCCTCATGAGGGTTCGTGTTGGTTACATAATCTCAATTGCAAGGCTCTTCACAGGCGAATAATGAGTGTTAGACTGTCAGAATCACAATCTCTGCAACTATCTCATCGGAAGTCTTTCTCAGACTCTTATTGCGGATCTCCATCAAGAGCCACTATGAGTTTAAAATCGGCGATCTCAAGTGTTACTCCAATTATCATTCTATCCGTTCGTCTCAATATCTTAAAAAAGGCTTCAAGTTTTCCAATTTTCAAAGTAAAACACCATGAATCGCGATTGGCTTGACCAGGGATTCCCAAGCAGATATATCCTTATAGACTGCGCGATTATTATCATCCCCAACCAGACAGAAAATTGCGAACTTGGATCATCATGATATGCTAGTCTCATCATCAGAAGCATACTAACGAACATAAAGGGCGTGTTAACGGTATTTTAATGCACTCCAGACTTAGTATTGGTCCACACTTGGATACCTATCTTGCCCAAAAGTAAAAGGAAGCAGAAATTCTAGATTCAAGGCTTTTCTGCTGTCACCAGTCCCTGATTTCGACGAACATCTCAGCACCACGGCTCCTAAATCCGGTAACGCCAATCCTTGATGACCTCTCCATTACCAACTCGAACCTTAGCAGGAGCGTCCATATCCATCAAGAGTACAGCAGTCTGCATGGCAAGGTCCTCCGTGCATGACGTTCAGGCAGTAAAAAGCATCGCCGTTCTACACAACTAGCATTAGTAACGAGACACAACGAAGCACGCAAGGGAAGTATAGCGCTGACATGCTTATCGCGAGCCACGTTGTCCTTGAAACAACAGTCATCTTTGCTGCAGAAGGCACTCTGAATCAAAAGTCAGCGTTTCGGAAATACGTCTATTGGGCCACTGCGGTCCATCTTACCGCAGAGCCAAGCAGCGTGGCTGTGAGAAAGAGAACAACGGCCTTGATCTGCATTTTCGAGGGAAGACGGTGTGGGTGATTTGCTAAATTGGTAGACGTCTGCAGTTGCTTGTTGAATTGGTCTCTGGGACGTTTTCGGTACGGGCCTTCTGCTTTTATACTAGAAAACGGCATTCACAGCTCCAACTCGAGATAGCCGGCCTCCCAATAGCCGCCCCTTGCAAAGGCACCGGCTTTAGAAAGCGCTGGTCATGAATATCCATCCCTAGTGTCCTCTGCTTCTTACGTTAGTCAATACTAATAGTGCGAAAGTAAACTTTTTACTCTCGTCTAAAACTCTCCTTTTGTTGAACGGGCCCTAAGATGGTCCAATTCACACCGCTTAGTTCAGTCGTGGCAGCCCTGCTGATGATGCCTTGTGTAACATATGGGTAGTCTCGAGTCTTGACTCAACGATGAGCAAGTCTCACTTATGCAAGCAATTCGTGTGTGCGTTGTTACACCTCACATGGCAGTTGTTCAACATCACTGGATCCTCTTCAACTCCACTATTCCGTCAGACAAATGATTTGGGGTTTGCGCCTCGTTGTACTCAGTTGTATGCGAATGAACACCGCATTCTTATGTTTGCTAGAAAGCAAGAGACATCAGTTATTCGTGAAATGGCAACCATCCAGGGAATCAAGACGCTGCTTACTATGCTACCAATTTACAGCTATGCGTAGACATTTGCATTACCTAGGTATGGACGAACCTCAGGCGACATCCTCCAGCAAATGGGTCCGCTGCCACAGTGCTGATAGAGCCTAAAGTGAACCAGGATTCAGGGGCCATTCTGGAGTAGTGACAGGGCCGTCGACACGCTATGACACCCAAGGATGAAGGACAGCACTTTGATGGATATAACAGATACAAAGAGAATCTCAAGAAAAAGGATTTAAACCGAAGGAGAAGAGTCCTGACGCCACGGTATGTGTAAACCATTCAGGACCATAGAGACGACTGCCTATTCAGGATTTAATACTCCGTACTCATGCAATTGATCCTGCATCCTTATGTGGAGTTCCTTAAACATGCCCTATATCAGAGGACAGAACCCGCTGACAGCTTGTACCTTGTCCTGTGCATACTGGAGAGGCCTTTCTCGTCAACCTCAACGTCAGACACCGAGGAGGAGCAACCTGCAACACGTGAATCAATCAATCATGTCTATCATTAGTGAAAGCAATTTGGGAGTCGACTATGTCACAGTAAACTCGACCTTCGGCTCCGTCAAAGGATTCATCAACAGAGACTACCCAAACGTCGCCCAATTCCTAGGCATTCCCTTCGCCGAACCGCCGATAGGGCCGCGCCGATGGTTACCTCCAACGCCGAAGGCTCCGGTCGACAGCATCGATGGCACAAAGTTTGGATTATCTTGCCCTCAACAGCTTGGAGGCAGGCCGTCGGTCTATAATACGGATGTGACTGAACACCAGATCCGAGACGACACTTCCGAGGATTGTCTTTCTCTCTGCATTTGGGCACCCAAAGATGCGGCCAAGGAGGGGTTCACGAAGAAGTTCCCTGTGATAGTGTTCATCACCGGCGGCGCATTTCTCGTCGGCGGCTCTACGATTCCTTATCAGAATCCAACGCCCTGGATCGAGAGCAGCAAGCGCCACATTGTTGTCAGCATCAAGTTAGTATACCGAACCTCTCGGACCATCCCAATCCCAACTCGGGATCTATGCGCTTACACGAATCCAGTTATCGACTGAACGTCTTCGGCTTCCCCAACGCCGCGGGACTCAGCCCTGATGAACGAAATCTAGGATTTTTAGACCAGCGGCTCGGGCTGGAATGGGTACATCAACACATCGCCTCCTTCGGCGGTGATCCATCGCGAATGACGCATTTCGGACAATCAGCAGGCGCCCGCAGCATCGACTGCCACGCGTTCCTGCATCCGGACAAACCCCTGGTGCGAAATCTCATTCTCCATTCTGGGTGTGCACTCCCTCTGCTTCCAGTGAGCGACCCGGGATGTACGCACTTCAGTGCTCTCGCCAAGGCACTCGGTTTCCCGGGCGGCGATGCTGCGGCGGAGTTGGAGTTTATGAGACAGCAGCCTTCGCAAGAGCTCCTCGAGGCTATCCAACATCACTGGGCTACTGAAGAGAAGCCTTTTCTGAGCTTCCGGCCCGTGGTAGACGGCTTTACACTATTTGATGATTATGAAGACAGGGCCAAGGCAGGAAACTTTAGTAAATTGGTAGGCGGAGTTCGTTCTCTGATTGCGAGTTAATCATCACTAACCAGCTTCGACAAGCCTGCCATTTATGGAACCATGAACGACGAGGGAAATTCAGTAGCTGTATATCATCCCGACAGGGCTGATTCGTTTTGGGCGGAAAAGATCACAAAAGACTACTTCTTGGGACCTATGGTTGCCATGGCGCGGTATGAGATGCTCTCCTCATACATCCTAACAATATCAGACTCTCAGTGCAGCTGCTAACGATGTGCCGGGTAACAGAGCACGCTCAGCTCATGCGCCCACATTCCGCTTCTTGCTCAAAGACTATGCACCTGCTGGTACCAGCTCATTTCATAACATCAGTCCCCGACCATGGCTGCGAGCCTATCACAGCTCGGACATGCCTTTGATCTTCGGAACGCACGATTGGGCTCGTGGCCCCTCTACGCCGTTGGAAGCGAAGGTCTCACGTGTATGGCAAGATTTGTATGTAGCTTTCGCAGAAGATGGGCCGGATGGGTTGCGGAAGATGGGGTGGAATGATATGAGGGAAGATGTGGGAATCGTGCTAGGTGGTGGTGAGAAGGGTTGGGAGACCGTCAGCCTGGAAGAGGTTGACAACAGGTGAGTATTGAAGAGATGGCTTCCTGAAAGTACCTAGCGACAGCATGGAGAAGCTTTGAGACAAAGATGATAGCCCGTCAGAAGCGTATCCTGTCTTGAGATCATTGTTCGGGGTTTGTATATCAATTTTATGGCATTTGAACGGCCTTCCATGGTGAGACTTGACTCTACATGAGGCGTTTACTTTTCCAAGTACACGTTGTTGCATACATCTCTGAATACGCCCATGGTTCTCTGCCACCCTCCAACGACATCATCGACTCTCTTCGCCATATCCCTTCCCAAAGGCAACATCCTCTCACCCTCCTTGCCCTCACCTACTCCTGTGCCGGTAATGACTTCATATATCACCTTGGCTGCCTTCACATGATCCCCATCGGCAGGAAAGCCTTCTGTTGCCGATGCAGCCATGACCTTGAAGACTGCATCTAGAGCACTGCCGTCGTAGTCCGAAGGCGTAGGCTTGCTCGCTAACCTAACCGTCGGCCCCATATTCGTGTCGAACGAACCGAGCGCAACCGTCAAGACGCGGACACCGAACGGAGCCATTTCTTTTGCAAGGACTTTGCTAACACCTATTGGAAATACCATCAGCCGTTAACTCGCGAGAGGGTCAAAGGCCATTGCACTCACCATCCATCGCGGCTTTCGCAGCCGCATAAACGCCCATCGACTCTCTCCCCTCCAACCCAGCCCCAGAGCTGATATTGACGATGACACCGCTGCCTCTCTCTCGCATAAGGGGGGCGACCGCCCTCATCAACCGGTAGGGCCCGAAGAATACGGTATCCATCTGCGCCCTCGTCTCTTCTTCCGTGAAACCTTCTGCCGGGCCATGGATGGACCATCCAGCATTATTGACTAGCACATCGATCAAAGTACCAGCTTTCTCGAGGTCCGTGATGAGGTCTCCCGAGTTCAGGTCGTCAACGTCGAGCGGAAGTCAGCGGCCCCCTCCATCCTGGACTTCACGCACTAGGTCCGGCGTCTTTTGAGGGTTGCGCGAGGTGGCAATCACCGTGTGCCCTTGTTTCTGCGCCAGTCTTGTGAGAGCTAGTCCAAACCCGGATGAGCAGCCGGTGATGAGCCATGTTAGAGGTCTGTCTGGGACAACAAACGGATGAGACATGGTGATGGAATTGCAACTTCTGTATAGCTTTGGTTCAACTCTTCCAATAGCCATCTCGTTTGCTTCTTAATGCGAACGAGTTTTTATCCTTTTTTTTTTAGAGCTTGTACGCCCGGACTTTGAGGTTGAAGCCGAAAAGACTTAGATGTGAGCGGCCCTGCATCGGCCAGTGTCTCACGGAGAATCGGCCCTCGCGGACTTAAGCCAGATCCGGACTACATCCGGGTCATATATCACAGCGTACCGGCGACTGCATTTGATTTCCAACATGTGATCTTTACTATTAGCACTAAATACTTGCAGAGGCTAATCACCGGTTTGATAAGTCCGAGTCGGTGAGATTTGACTTGACATTTCTCAGAGCCAAGCTTGCTGCAGGTTGGCGCGTGAGATGGTGCAAAGCGCAGCATGACAGATCAATCCGTAGACTCAACCCAAGCATCGGAAATAGCACGTATAGAGTGATCGCTATGTTGGGAGATCGCTATGACAGGACTCTGAATTTACCTTGGTGCTTTAAGAACCTATAACGTGTGGGATTTTATCATAGCCCCTCTCAAATGGCATGGTCATCTCAAGCTCGACTTCATTGGGTCACTGGCTGACTTCTCTTTGTTGTCAACGTATCAAACATTGCCAAGCAAAAGTTGCTACAGTTTTGATCGAATCACAAGATCAACATGACGCGAGAAACTTCACGAGCTTGCGGAGGGGCTTTGGCACTTGGGGCCAGTTCTTGAGGTATCGTCATCTCCATACCTGAGCTAATAGAAGTACCATCGAAACTCACATGGAATAAACATTGTTCTCAAGTAAAATTTAACCCAGCTTTGCGCCTGAATCATGTTGGGTTGGCTGCTCTTCCTAGCCCCTCGCCGAACAAGCCTCATTTCTCGCCGGATAACCAAGTGCAGTTTCATGAAGACTGAGGACATGGCAACAGCTGAAAGCACTTCAGTGCAAAATGATTCAGTAGCATGAGCTCAAAACAGTATTCCTAGTCGCACTGTGTTCATCAATGAATAAAAAGATTGATTTGAAATCTGGGTACAAACAACTAATCACTTGTGTGACCGTGTGACGTGTCTGCCAGATTGGAATGGCCAAGATGGACTATTTATAAACGTTAGCTGGAACGAGAATTCTGAGATCACCGATCGCTGCTCCTTCCTTCGCTGCCTCGCATTAAGTAGTTTGTGGGATCAAGGTCACACGAAAACGACAACACAAACTTGTCGGCAGTTGGCAGCTTGGCATTTGTGGTGATGATGATCTATAAGCGGCGTAGTTGGAGGAGCTCCGCAAACACCAGAAGTGAACCTCGTCCCCAATACCAGATTAACCTGACATCCGGCAAGAACTCCGTGAGATCGTAAGATTGACGCTGCAGGCCACTCTGAGCAGTGGGCCAATCCATCGCGAATGTTTCTTCAGCGGTCACGACACATGCACGGGGATGAAGGACGCCGGAGCCACCTCCGAGATCAACTCCGGTGGGTTGGATTCTTGGAAAGACTCGGACTCGGACATTGGAAGCAGACTCCTGGGTTCGCTGGGTATGTGGTTGCGGGCAGCGGCACAGCAATATTGCAATCATTGCAAGGGGTGGAAGTCAATTTTTGGCCGCAAACGCGGATACCTTTCCTGAAAAGGAAAGTTTGCGTACCGAGCGACTGGTTTGATTGTTGATCGTGACCCTTGCCAAGCTTTTGAACTCTATTGTTCGTTTTTTCTAGCGCGATGTCACCTAAGTCTCGAGTGCTGTATTGGCAAGACAACAATGATCAATCCGATGCCCTCGGATATTGTGGCGTCTGTCGGTACCAACGGCTGCCAGTTGAGGCTTGCAAACTATTGTTCAGAAATGTTTCCTCAAACAAAATGTGGCTAGTGAATATGCAGTCAGTCATGTGTTGCTGGAAGTCGGAAGACATGGGCGAAGTTGCCGGCGTGTCAAATGCAATAGACCATGTTGTCGCAGAGAATACCGACATGCCAGTATAGCTGTCAAAACCTAATGCCTCCCCCCACCAGTGTCGCAGCAAGATAGAAGAGGAAGCCATCTCCGTTCGTCTGAACTCTGTGCAAATCCCGGTTCGGGAGCGAACTCTGCCGTTCTAAATAGGAAGGACGAGAGAAATAAGAGAGAGGAAAGAACTCCAGGGATTGCGAGCCATGAACTTGTGAGAGTTTGTTCGGACCAACAACGCAGGAAAGCTTTCCTACTACATGATCAAGGTATGCATGTTTGCGAAAATCAGATTGCATGCTGCAGCCAAGATTGTTTGCTAAAACCACATGGCCATTCTACGCCGCTCTCTGGCAGACCAGACATGCAGCAGGGCTAGTAGTGTACTTCAGTCAACACCGAGCACCGAACCGGGTTTTCGGGCCCTTGGATCTGCGCGTTGCTCCGACGCCTGTCTCTGCTCCCTCCACTGACAGGATTCAACAGGCAAGACTGAATGTTAGACAAACAGGAGCAAAAATGGAATCAGGAGAAAGAAAAAACAGGGCCATTCGTTAATGTCTGACACGCCATCAGCCTACCACTCGAGTCTGACAAAACCACAGTAAGCAACGCAGGCACACAGGCAGGGGCAAAAGAACCGTGGAGCGGGATCCACGTGTAAGCCTGAACTGGGCAGAAAATTGGGGACAGTGGCCAAGGTCAGCCCGTGCTCGCATGAACCAGTCGCCTCTCGCACAACATCGATCTTCCCGCGAAACTCGAGGGGGCTGTGGACTTGGGCATTGGCGAATCACGTTGGCTGACTCTGCTTTTCGAAGTCAGACTAGAGCCCTAAGAGCCGGCAGGTTGCCTGCAGGACAGATGCGAAAAGCGCAGGACACTTAGTTGTTGGCTCTTATTTGGAGGAGAGGGTTCCGGCCCGTGTCCGAGGCCATACAAATGCCTGAATTGAGACATTTGATCTTAGCACAATCTCGTCATCCACAGTGACAATTTTCCGATGCGTTCTAAAATCTAAACAAGATGAAATGATTCCCGCATTCCAACCCAATCGCCGGAAACTAATGGCTCATCATGGGCACCAATCTCGCGGCCCCCAATATCACCACACGGAAACCAGGTTACCCGCCGCGTGGCTTTGCCCTAGGGTCGGGGGGGCTCTTTCAAGGCATAGGCAAGCGGCAAGCAAGCCGCAAAACACCTCATCCCCCCGTACTCTGCCATTACTCACAGACGGCCGGCCACCGGAAACCCGGTCCCGGCATGAATGCGACAGGGAACATGGCATCAGAGGTGCCCCATCGTAGTGTCCGCCGTCTCATACGAGGGGGGTAGGCCGCAGCTGAAAGCCTGACACAAGAAAGAAAGAAAAAAAAAAAACCACAGGAACTGAAGAACATCCGCAAGGTGAAGGCTACGTAGTAGACCAGAGTCAAAAACTCCACAACGCCCGGCGGCGCTCCGGGGAGAGACGGTTAACGGGCTGCTGAATTGCCGTCAATGGTTCGGCGGCGCATGCGACGGTGCCGCGGTGGTGTCCGATGGCTTCCGCTAGAACAAGACTAGAAGATGGGAACACGAGTAGCTAGTGTTGCGCCTCTTTCGTCTCTTCATCTCGCAACCGCCACTTGACCCGAGGTTAGCTCTCTCTCCTAGTCCGCTCTTATTCTTTATTTTTCTGCCCTCGGCGGTTCAACGCCTTTCGTCAGTGCCCAACGCGCGTTGCGGTTACGATCAGTACGCAGAATATCTGCAGAATGCTGAAGTCCGTCACACAACTTGCGGGTAGATGACGAAGACAACAACGCACGGTGGAAAAGCAAAACTTGGCCGCTCTTCTTACTTTCAGGCTTTTTGCCTCCACTCGTTCTCCACAGAGTTCAAACCCTTTCAAACAAAGCCCCGATCCTTCATGGTGCATCCGGCGAGATACGATGAACCCCGGACGACAGGTCAGAAACATTTAATCTATCATTGAGGAACCCTTACGAACCCCCCAAAGCTGGGGCAGAAAGGAGACAAAAGTATTGGGTTCTCAGGCCACATTTGCTCTGCTGGGTAGCATCGGAAACCCTTCCAATAGACCCCCTTGGTCTTCCAGAGAAAGGTCGAGATCCGCCTATGGATGAATTGACCTTCCCCTGTAGTCCTGGGCCAGTCCGCGAATAATCCGACAAAATCCGGTCATTAAGCCGAGTACAGGGCAGAGAGCCGAAGGATTCGGCCGGTTGCCAATATATGAGCAATGGAGATTGCCCACGATCCGCTGCTGCAGCCTGCATGAGAAGCGACATCAAGCGAGTTGTAAACACCCGAGCTGAGCCAACCCACGCGGACAAACCATACACATACGGATGCAGACTCAAGTGAACAGGTGGTAGAGTCCATATTTTGCCTCTTCTCGAGTCATAATATCGGCAATCAGACCAAATACTCGCATCGCACATCGACCACATCTCAGTTTTCTCTTCCCCGTCCCAACTTTGATCGAACATTGGCCACCAATGGCGTGTCGTGCCGGCTCAGACCCTCTAACCGTCCCCATTTTCAACTAATTACTCCACACACACAGCGTGCCGGATGTGCCACCAGGATAGGGATAGCACCGGCCAACTGCGACGCCATCTCTGCCCGGCCTAACGTCCCAAGGGGTAAAAAAGGGACACACGCCCCCCTTCGTCTGTGTGTGTGTGTGATGAGCCTGTTACGTGCCTTGCGTGTCCGTCTCGGGGGCACGGGGGGCGGTCTTCCAGAAAGAAAAGAGGTTCCTTCGATGCGGTTACTGAACCTGCCACACCGAAACTCTGGCTCTTCTTCGGGCATTTCCTCCTGGTTATTTCGGCATCTTGATGTGCTTCTGTGTGTGTGTCAAAGCTGGTTGCACCAGCACACCACAACATACAAGTTGCTATTACCGTTCCTCGGGAACAATCAGCTTCGCCTCAGCTTTGCATTGCCGCGCCAGCCTCGGCCAGCCCCCGATTGTCGCACAAGCTTTTGCTGTGCCGTCGGCGATTGCCCACCGAGA